CCCCCTCACAGCCCTGTGGCTGCAGCAACTCATTCTGTGGGCACCCAGCCCTCTGGCACAGCTACAAGTGATGAACTCACCCGCACCCGCCCCGCAGGTGCCACAGGGAGCCTGAACGCAGCCAAGGCTCCATCAGGGGGTCTTACAGCCCCTCTGCAGCACCTCTGGGACTGCGACACCCGCAGGCGACCACAGGCCACCCCACCGGTGTCCCCAGAGCAGTGGCAGAGTCCTGGCTCCCACCACCAGGAGCCTGGGCTGGGGCGAGAGCAGGTGGAGTCACATCCCCTCCTCAAGCGGCCCAGAGGGAAGCATGGACATGTGTCTGGCTGCGACAGAGCAGCCAGAGCCTCTGTACCGTTGCTAGTGAGCCCTGCACTGTGTGTAGGAGTCACAGCAGCCGCAGTTGTAACCTCTGTTCTCAGCTAACCCTTCTCTGCATGGTGAAATGCGTACAGATACGTCTGGAAAGCCTGTTTAGCCCTGTGGCAGCAGCACGGTACATTATAAATTAAGCAGCAATCTCAGTGACTCACACAGTGCAAGTGAGAACCCGTTCATGAGTCCCAGGGTGAAGAAGTCCTACACTGCAGCAGGAAGGGAGGGCTTTTCCTCATCTTCCTACCCCTTCGCTCTCTCCAGAGCCTTGCAGTAACTACCAGCCTCCTGCATGTCTGGCACGGGGAGCTCTGGGTTGTCCCTGAATCCCGAGTCCCACTCACACAAACCCGCTGGAGGCAGCGTCACAGACACCGGGCTTTCCACTCAGCTTATTGCTCTTCCTTCAGCAAAGAGTGGATGTAAGTGTTGCAAAACACATCCTTCTCCTCTTTTTTTTGCATTTCCAACCTGTCAATCAACAGAAGCCTCCGCAACAGCAAAGGAAAAGCCTCCTCTGAGCTGGCCCTTATCCTGTTCCTGAAAAGGGAATGGAGCAGATGGAGAAGCAGAGAGCAGCAAGTCATTAAGGCAAAGAGCTCTCTCTGGAAACCGCTGCCACTGCAAGTCCTGGATGGAGGAGGTGGTCCCAGCTCTTCTTGCTGCCATGTCCCCCTCACAGGGCATCCTTGCAGCGTTCCTGGTGCCTGGCACAGCGGAGGCAGGGCCAGGGCAGTGCTCAGAGAGCCCTGAGCTTCCAGCATCTGCATTTACAAGTGCAGCGACCAGCACATACAGCACTGTGTCCCCATGCACGCTTTATCTAGGTCAAGCCATTAGTTTTGCTTTTAATCTCCATACGTTTTTAATTTGATCTTTAATGTGGATTTCAGCCTGCGAACCCAGCTGACAGACGTTCCTTGCTACCAATTGTGCTAAACATCCCGACCCTTCCCGAAGACACTGGGAAGGAGAATAAGCACCAAAATCCTGGTGCACTTTGAGCACCCACAGCCAGGCTCACGCAGCAGCAGCCCTGGGGAACAGCCCCTCTGTCACGAAGCACTTTCCTACCCAAAGAGCTGTTGTTCCCTTCCCTCGTGTAGCTGACAACCCTTGGTGAGGAGCCTTCCCAGGGATACATGATGCTGGTTCTTCGACCTCCATCCTGCCCCACCTGGCATCTCACATGGTCCCTCACATTCACATCTCTCATCTCAAGTGCCAGGGCTACAAGTCCCAGCAAAGGAGGTGGAAGCGGGAAGGCCCCCCCTATCCATCTTCAAAAGAGATGGATGTTTTCGCCATAGCAAATCCAAGTGTTGGATGGCCAGGGTTGGAAACAACTGCGGTTCCTCTGCATCGGCAGCATCCTTGGGGCCTGCAGCATTCCTGCCAGCAGCTGTTGAACTGGTGGGCTGATGTCCGAAGTGGAGCACAAAGCAATGGAGCTGCTTTGTGGAGGGGCTGGATGCAGAATTACATACTGGTGAACAGCAGCATAACCCAAGCAAGAACTCCTTTATCCCAAGGGAACGGACAAGATGTGACACCTGCGGGGAGGTCCCAAGCCTCAACCCTGTTCACAACTTGGATTTACCACAGGCCAGGAAAACCACTCGCTTCTTTACAACAGAAACAAGCAGAGTTGAAAACGCACAAAATAAAAAGCCATAACATGCTGAAGGGATTAGGGACGGCTCTCAAAGCACCTTGAGGTGCTACGGGCAGATTGCTGCACAGGCTCTGTGGGAAAGGCAGGCCACAGGCACACACTGGGGGTGTCTGATGGAAAACCAGCTCAGAGGGGAAGGGGAGCACTGGGAGTCGGTTTATGGTTTAGACACAAGGGGTTTAGGTCTCCTAATTGGGGAGGGGGGTTGTGTGTGTGGAATTTCCCAACACAGATAGTCATGGGAAGCACGGCCCTTTGACAGAAAGAAGTTATTTGCTTCAAAACCCAATTTTCCATCAAAACCCCCAAGCTGAAAGGTGTTCCCAGCTCCCTTGAGCTATGTGATCAAAGCTGGAGCTGAAGAGTAGCTGCAGCCCAGGGCTCATGGCCCCAGTACAGAACAGCACAGCTTCTCAGGAGCTACTCCATTAACAGCATTAACAGCTCAGAGACAGAAGGAAGGTGCACAGCCGCGGGGCAGCACCGGCTCCATCAGCTGCGGTTCCCGGCAGCAGCATCCCACCACCCTCAAGTTTAACGGCCTCAAATATGTCAGGTGCTTGCAAGGATTTCACTGCTGCCAGGTCTGTGGTCAGAGCTACAGGCTGAGGCTGCACAAGGAAGACAACACAGAGCACTAATGCAAATATTGACTCTGCTGGTCGAGCTCGGCATTGATCCCGTGCAAGTGCTGCAGTTGGGGGGAGCAGTAGGAAAACAGCCACCCAGAGGAAGCCCAATGGACACACAGCCGGAGGCAGGGGTTACAGACACATAACCACCATCCCTAAGGAGCAGCCAGGACCAGGAGGAAGCAATCCCTGCAGACCCAAGGCACCACAGCCACCCGCTCCCTGCTCCCAGCCTGGCTTAACAGCAGAGCAAGAAAGCTGCAGGCAGAGGAGAGCTCCCTTCGTGGCCAAAACCGCTTTTAAGGCTGTTATTCAAAAAGGGAAAAACGTGGTATTCTGGCACCCTGCAGAACCGGGCTGGCTGCAGCCGCGCTCGAGGCTGGCACAGGTCTGTGTTTCCTGTTGGCTCTGCCTGGTCGACTGACACAGGCGGCTCGGGGAACAGATTGAAAGGGTTCAGTTTCTCCCCCAGGTTTTGCTGTGCACAAACATCCTCGCTCGCTTCTCTCTACAGTTCCCAATTTGCTTATTGAGACATTTCCTCATGGAAAAAGAATGTCCTGGACTAGGGATGGGGCTGCTGGCGCAGCTACGCGCACCGGGAAGCGTGGCGAGGAGCGTGCAAAGGCGAGAGGTGCAGCTAGGCCTGACAGCAAATACCAACCAGCACAGGCTCCTCTGCGAGCACACGGCAGCCCCCCTGCCATGGGGCAGCCCCACCGGGACACAGACCCCACACAGGCGGGAACAAAGCCCGGAACATCCCACAGCACCAGCCATCCTCCCACTGCTGCCCCCGTGTCAGCCTTAGCATCAGGCATGGCTGTCAGGCTTGGAGGTCAGGAGTGGAACCAGTGCGAAGCTGGGCACTGTGGAGGGTTTCTTTCCAGGCATCGCTTTGTGATAAAACAATCTGGTCTGCACATAGAAAACTAGAGAGTTCTGTATTTTGGCTAGAGGGACAGAAGAATTGCTTCTGCCCATAAAGCCCAAGGAGCAAACAGCTCGATTTCGATGAAAACATTACCAAAACAAAGAGCCAGGAAAAGCGCTCTTGTGTCTGAACAAGCCCAGAAGATTAGGGGAGAAAGGACCAAGGAAGCGGCAGCTGGAAGCACACGAGCAGGGTTATAGCAGGGGTAGGACTGCTGTCACAGTGGCAGTCACACCAGCCTGGTGCTGCGCGGGACCAGCTATGTATTTTCTTATGATCAAATAAAAAGAGAATCAAAAGCATTCTTCAGACTCATGCAGAATGCACGGGGGGTGGAGAGGCATTTCTACCTGTATATAGGTCAAACCTCACCCACCCAGGTTCACAACACATTCGGCATAGCCACGGCATACGAACGAAGTTTCAAAGTACTCCAGAGGGATCGCTGGGAGTTCGCTCTCTCCTACCTGAGGAGCAGCAGAACAGCAGTTCCGCCTGGATCGATATGTGTTGCAAGTGGAGGGGCAGGAGGATTGCCTGTTCCTGCCACTCCAGCCAGGAGGAAATCGGGGCTGTGGTGGAGAACAGGCTCCTGCAATGGATCATTGTGCGATGGGAGTACTGCTCCTAGCAGGAAACAGGTGGAAAGGAGGCAAAGGCAATGGGACAACAGAGATCCTCAGCAGCCTCCAAATCCCCACCAGTCTCCCACGAGCATGTGTGGCTGCTGATGTCCTGTTCTCCTCACACCAGCACCCCCAAGTCCTCCTCTGCAGGGCTGCTCCCAGCCCATCCATCCCCAGGGCTCCTGGTGCCCAGCCTTCTCCTCACACTGTGGAGCAGCTTGGACAACCTGCTTGAGGAGGGTACAAAAGTGCACTCCTCAGGGCACAGCGATCTTCAGGCATAGGTAAAGCAGAAGAGTTCCCCCACACAGCAGCCCAAAGGAAATGCCTACATCCTGCTCCCATCCTTCAAGAAGGCTGCACAGGCACAGCCCGAGCACAGCAGCCTGAGGGGACCATGATGGTGGGTCCCCCATGCCACCCCTCTCCACCTCAGCTCTCTCAGGACAGGGCAAAGCCTCGCTCCTGTGGCAAAGCCGCAGGGCACTGGTGACACTGGGGAGAAGGACCGGTGCCGGGGCTTGGCACACACGCACCAGGAGGAAAACAAACCAGCAAAGCCTTTGCTTTAACTGCACAAATGAGACCCAGCTCAGCCTCCTGGTACTGGGGTCCTGGAGGAGCCCATGATCTGCACCCTGCGCATCTCCAGTTCTTTGCCATAAACAAGAGGTGCGGTGCTGCTGGAGCCAGCCCCTGCTCCAAGCGCCGTCCACAGCCACCACCAGCCCCAGGACGCCTCGCCAGGCGCTTACCTTCAGCTTCTCGAAGCGATCGCTGAGGGATGCCACTTGGTGGTCCCGGTGGCGTCCCACCAGTTTGCATAAGGCACAGATGAGCTGGTCGTCAGCGACACAGTACATGTTCACCTTCTCATTCTCGTGCTCTAGGCACGTGAGCCCTCGGAAGTGGGCATCGGCCACGGGCTCCACCAGCCGGTGGCTGGTGAAGGGCTTCTTGTTGGGGTGCGTGGCGCGCAGGCAGCGGTCGCAGTAGGACACCTCGCAGGTGATGCAGGTCTTCACCGCGTCCCGTGGCGGGTCCTGCTCGCAGAACTGGCAGGCGATCCTCTCGCCAGCCACCGACATGGTTGGGCTGTTGTGGTACGTCCGCTCACGGCGGCTCTCGCTGGGGGAGTTGGGCCCGCTCAGGGATGCCTTCTGGAAGCGGTCAATGATGTTCTGCAGGGTCACATTCCTCTTGAGGCCCTCCAGGCCCCGGTGGTTGAGGGAGATGACATAGCGGCACGTGGGGCACTGGAAGGCAGAGAGGGGCTCGATGGACTCACTGGAAGAGCAGCTGGACACCAAGATGCGGTGGGCGCAGCTGAAGCAGAGGCTGTGGGCGCACGGCAGCAAGAGGGGGTCCTCAAACAATTCCAGGCAGATTGGGCAGGTCAATTCTGACTCCAGTGTTTCCATCTTTAGTTAAAACGATCCAGGTTCAGCATCAAAAACCAGGGAAGGTGGGCTGGTACCTGCAGAGACAAGAGCAGAGGTATCTGACAGAGGCTCTCCAGGGCAGAAACAGGCAGCTGGGGGACATTGGACATGTCACCTCTGCAGCACCCCGATGCTGTCACACAGCCCAGCCAGACTCACATGAGCCCATTGCCATGGTGACACGTTGTAGTACCACCCACCCGAGCCAAGCCGCTGGCTCAGAGCAGCACCCAGGGGTGCTGCAGGGCAGCAGAGATGCTTGGGGAAAGGGGCAGTGGGAAGCTGCTCCCCATCACCCTGCAGCCCAGCCAAGAAGAAGATTTGGACAGAGAGGCTGGAGCCAAACCCAGCAGAAACCACATGATTTCTTGTTTCCTCCTGCAAACACAAGGCAGGAGCCGGGGGGACCGTGCTGGCTTCTGCGCGGAGAGGCTACGCTGCACGGAAAGATACTACAGCTCCAGCTGTCCCCTCCAGCAGCCACACGGTTCCACCTCCTTCTGGTGGAGGGAAAAACGTGAACTGTGTCCTGGAAACTGAGCAAAGCAGGACGGGAGCTCCAACGCGCTGTCCCCCTGCGCTGTGCCGCCTGCTGGAGCAGGGCAGGGAAGGAGGAGCAGGGAAATTAGAGCCCGCAGAGTCCCACCTCCACTGTCCTCCGCTGCACCTCAGCGACAGCCAGGGATGCCGGAACCAATTCCAGCGGCGCGCAAACATGCCCCTATTTTAGATCACTCCCTCTGCTTGAGCCTGGAAACCGGCCCCCTGCAGTCACCGGACCTGCTGTCACGCTGCTCCCAAGCTCTGGTTTGCAGAGCTCCACACTGCACCCTGAGAGCTGCCCCTTGTCCCCACGTGCTCCCAAGCACTCTCCCCTCCAAGCACTGTCCCCTCCATGTACCCAGCAGTCACTGAGCTCCCTTCCCACCCCGGCTGCAGGACATGCCCGCAGCGGGCACAGGGGCACACACCGACAGCCCCACGTTACTGACAGCCCCTCTGCAGCCCATGGCAGGATCAGTGGGTCCCACCACCGGCAGGTACCCTGTGATCCAGCTCCTCCCGCCAAGCAGCTCCAGAGCCTTGAGCGATGCCCACACGTGCTTCAGGGCTGGTTCCAGCCTTGCCGGTACATGGTGCCAGCAGCAACCCCAGCCATGGCAGGGACTGGCCAACCCTACCCAGTGCCGGTTCGTGCCAGCGCCTGGGATCGGCGCATCCCTGGGGTGCCCTACCAGGACCTGCCTGTGCCCGCCCTGCCTATCACAGCATTTCTTCCCAGCCGCCTGGCATGGGAATTGCCAGTGCCTGGAGGAGATCTTGAGCTCTTCCCTGCGCCAGCTCGAGAGGCTTACAAAATTAAGCAATTGGATATTTAGATATGGTAATGCTGCAGCAGCCTTATCAGGGCCTGCCTGAGTGAGCCTTGCACATATTTATGTAGATACACATATTTCACTCCCCGCCTCCCCCCAGGAGACACAGTGAAGAGCAGCTGCGTCCACAGAAGCTGCAGAGCGTGAAGGCTCCCAAGAGCTTCCTCCTCGCAACCCCTGATGCCTTTCCCAAGCCTCAGAGCCCACCTCAGCCATGGGAAAGTGGCGGGAGAAAACACCTGGCCGTGCTCCCAGAAGCACTCGCACTGGCTGCAGCAGCTATCCCTGCCCCACTGTGGGACCAGGGGCTCCTGCTGCACAGCCATGACCCCCCCCATCACCACCGCAGCACCGGGCAGCCCGCACACACTTCCTCCTGCTGCTCGTGCTTTAAACCTTAGACACTGCTGCTCCTCGCCGGGCCTGCCCCCACGAAGCACTCCCATGCACTCCCACCCGGCTTTGCTGCTTCCAGGGACACGAACAGATGCAAAACGCTTAACCAGGCTTTCGCCTAGCTGCCCAGGGCCGCTCCCGCGGGAACCTTGTTTTCCTTCCTGGGACAGCACCGCTCAGATGCGATGCAGCTGAGCAGAGCCTCCAGAAGCAGCTGGAGCAGCGGCTCCTGCACCTGGGCGACACAGCCAGTGCTGCCGCTGAAGCCTTTCATGCCTCCCACTTTGATGTTCCCTTTGATGTCCAGGATTGACGTGGCACGAGGAATAGCTGATTAGATTAAAATCTGCTCGCTCCAGAGTCATCAACTCCCTCAATACAAGCACTATAAAACATTAACACGGGTTACAAACAGCCCTGCATGTTGCTTGTGCCCACAGGTCCGGCTGCCCTGGCCACATCCCCAGCAGCCAGGCAGGGCTGTGACTGCCGGCGGTTTAACACAGCACTAATGTTACGAACCCAAATTCTGCTCTGGAAACACTGGAGTGGGATCTCTCCCACTGCACAACACACAGAGACAAGCAGCATCCTTCCAGTGCTCCTACGGGGAGCCTGAGCTCGGCACAACGGCAGCAATGACCAGCTTTATGTGGTTGCCAGCGGGCACCATGCTGCTGGAGGTCTGCATCACTATGATGTGCCCTCCCTACACAGACCCACAGGTGTCAAACACACATCCCTAAGGCTGCCACACACACAGACCCACAGGTGTCAAACACACCTCCCCACGGGTGTCAAATACACACAGACCCACAGGTGTCACACACCTCCCCGTGGGTGTCACATACACAGCCCTATGGGTATCACACACACAGACCCACTGGTGTCACACACCTCCCCATGGGTGTCAAAGAGACCCAGACCCACAAGTGTCACACACCTTGCCAAGGGTGTCACACACCTCCCCACGGGTGTCAAATACACACAGACCCAGAGGTGTCACACACCTCCCCGTGGGTGTCACATACACAGCCCTATGGGTATCACACACACAGACCCACTGGTGTCACACACCTCCCCATAGGTGTCACACACACCTCCCCATGGGTGTCAAAGAGACCCAGACCCACGAGTGTCACACACCTCGCCAAGGGTGTCACACACCTCACCATGGGTGTCACACATACCACCCCATGTGCTGCTCCGTGCCTCCTCACTCTCACCTCTCAGCCCACAGGCAAAGCGACAGTCACAGCTCACTTGAGAGGCTCTGAACCCCACATGCAGATTGGGAGCAGCACAAGTGTGGGGAACTCCAGGGGCACACGGGGCATCCTTAGCAAACCCTGCCAAGGGTCATTCAATACAAAGGTTCTCCTGCTGCCTCTCCCCAGTTACTGCTTTTACAAGATCAAAGCCAAACGTGCTTCATTGCTACCTCAAGCTCAGAGGCATACCATCAGTGATGCAGACGTTCACCACCAAGAAAAGGAGAGAAGACCAGCAGGAGGGGATGCTGCTCACATCATCCTGACTACCCTGGGAAGGGACATCCCGGCACACAACACCTAGGGCCAGGGTCAGCCAGCCCCAAATTTCCCCTGATGCCTCTGACCACCTTCAGGCAGCCCAAAATTCGTCCTCCTGCTTGTGGTCTCCCTATGGCCTCTGGTGCTAGATGCTGCTGCTCTCCTACCCACCCCATGCAAGCCCCATGCCATGGAGTTCAGATACCGAAAATCAACGCAACTCATTGTATCTGTGTTTAAAACTAAGCCGTAATTTCATTTCTTGAGCTTGGCTATAACTATGGCTTGAGGTGGGTCCTCCTGCCTCTGTCCACAGCTGGATGCACAGCCCAAGGAGCACCCAGCTCACCCTAAGGCAAGACATGGGATAGCTTTATTGAGAATGTGATTCTCAGTGCTCTGCACACACCAGCATACTGAGTGTAAAAATGCAGACAGCTTATCATGCTAAAACCCTGGTCCCAGATGCATCTGGCTTTGCTACCATTTGATGGTGACAGGTCAGTGAACCTTGTGCACAGCTAGCACCAGCCTCTGCAGAGGTGGACAAAGCAGCTCCCGCTGCCTTGAATTGTTACAGGGCATATAAAACCCAACAATGTCCATCAATTCATTCATCAATTCATCCATCCATCCATCCATCCATCCTTCCGTCCATCCATCCATCCTTCCGTCCATCCATCCTTCTGTCCATCCATCCACCCACCCACAGGTCTTCCGCTGCAGCAACCCCTTGTGACCTCTGCCAGCCCCCGCTCCTACCAGGGTTCATGTGTTCACCTCAAATTCCTCCTGCTCTCTCTTGCACTAAAACCTGGCAGGGCTTTGCCAGCCCTGCCAGAGCCCCACAGGGCAAACAGCTCTGCTCCGGCCCCGATCAGGCGCAGGCCAACGCTGCAGGCCGATGTTCTCCATGCCAGTGTGATTTCTTCTTTCTTCCTCCCCCCGCCTTGTTGTTCTCCTCGATTGTTGTGTTTGTATTTCCCCAGAAACGCTGCAGCATTGCTCAGCCAAGAGCGAGGCCGGGAGCAGCCGCGGTGCTGCTCCACCCGCACGTTACACTGAAATGTAATCAAACATGGCAACCCTTTCCTTAATTGGCTCCCGACAGCAGGACAGCAAATCTGGGCAGCAGTTGTCTGCACACTTGCTGCTGGCCTCAGGAAAACCAGCTCAGCACTGGACCCCTGCTCAGGGAACAATGAAACCCTCCTCCAGCAGCCACAGCCCTGCCCCGGAGCCCCTGTCCTGAGCAAGCAGGATCCCCCAGTGGGGGGGGGGCAGAGGGGCTGCCCTTCAATCCCAGCTCCACAAACCTGCAGCCACCAGCCTGGCCAAGGAACTGCCCTAAGCCTGCCCTTGGGACCGGGCTGTCCCCAGAGAACCGAGGTCCCATGAGGACAAACAGCCCCAAGCGTGTGATTAACGCCAGCACCAGCTCTTGTCTAACGAAGGAGCACACGGGGAGCTCAATCAGGCTCCTCCAGCCAGGTCACGCCAAGAGTCATCCAATTTCTCCATGCTTGGCTTGCGAGCTTGCTGAGCTGCCGTGTGTGGAGCCGCTCCACGGGCTTAACACCGAGTTCCAGGCTTTAAAGGGTGCTCCTCACCACCCTCTGGAGGATGAGGAGCATCCTTCAGCCCCTCAGCTTGCTCCCTCCAGCCAGGAAAGCTGCAAGCCGCCCCCCCGCCCCGAGCTTGGCCTCTCCTCCTGCAGCTCCTGCCTCTACA